CTTCTCAGCTTGGTGAGGGAGAACTCTGAGTTCTCCACAGTCACCCTGGACTGAATCCAGCCACAGCTTCCACCTTCCTATGGAAAACAAAACTGTTTACATAAAAGTTTCATGTCCTGGTTTCTGGGGCCATGCAACAGCTATTTCCGATTATTTTTAATGGTTTTTATTGTGTGGTTGCTCTGTTTTAGATACATTTTGTTTCTCATAAGTCAGCAATGGATCATAAGTCATCGTTGTGGTCATTGTCTGTCCTGCTCACAGGATCAAAGCTGTGCTCCTGTGCTGGTGGGAAGCCCAGCTGCTGACACTGGCATTAGGAATGAGTGATTCCCAGCTAAGGGCCAGCATAGCTGGTGCTGGGCTCCAAAATGCCAGCAGCCTCAGAGGGTGACCAAGGGGTGACTCAGCCCTCGCCAGCTGCCACAGCTGTGTGATGAGTCGTCTGTGGGCTGAGAAAAGAAACAAAACTCATGGGGCAGGTCAGTGCAGGCACTGGCTTTTAACTGGGGCTTGCCACATTGCAGCCATCCCAAACATGGCCTTGTAGGGTCATAAGGAGGTGCCCACAGAACTGCCGAGGTTTCCTCTGAAGCCTGAGGCTCATCTGCTCTCTGTGGGCACAAGGAGCCCAGCCGTGCCCTGCACTCTCCCCGTTGCTCCCCCTGTGCCATCTCAAGTACCCAAGATCTGCTCTGCTGTGCTGGGACAGAGGGGCAGCCTCAGCCCCTGCCTGTAAAGTGATCAGGGCACTGCAAACTGCCTCCCCCAGCAGGGCTGTGACCTGCTGAAGCTGTGGCCTTGCCCTGGCAGTGGCTGGATCAGAGGAGCCCATCACCACCAAAGGAGACTCTCAATGGCTCTTTCCTGTGGCTGCACACTGAGCTTGCAGGACTGGGTTCCCTGCTTAGCTCGTGCCATGTTTCGACACAAAACCACCACAGGTCTCTGCTTCAGCTTCTCTGTTTTAAGCACCATCATTTGCCATGACTGTGTCCAGGGGCATTCCCACCAGGTGGCCTGGAATAACCATCGGGTGGGCAATCCATCCCTTCTGAGTCAGCGCTGCCCTGCAGCTGTCCCGCGGGAGCCTGGGGCCGTGCATGAGAAAGCTGAACAAACAACTCTGACTGCAGACAGTGTTTGAAGGCTTGTGAAATACCTCTCCTGTCCACCTCGGTCACCATAGCGGAAACTCAGTTTTGTTTAGCCCAGCTTGACTGAGAAAGAAAACCCAAAAAAGGCTGAGCCTCAACTTCACCAGGCCACCTAAACCCCCTGATTTTTGGTTATCAATCTCTTCTGACAGTTCATGTTATCAAAATCCTATGGTTATTGTAGTGAACTCTGACCTGGAAAGGCCTTTACACCAATTATCTCACCTTCCCCAGCCTGCCTGACCAAAGGGACATGCTTTATCAGAGCACAGGTGGGGTGAGGATCTGACCCAGTTTGCATTTACTCAGGAGCTGATCTCATTTCCAATTTAATTAAGTTTTCTCATAATTTTTTGGCATAATTTAAAGGTACACACCAGCCTGATATGTGACCCAGGGGGAATGAAAGTAAATTTGCTTATAGCAAAAGGATTCAATTGGCAGGTTTAGGAAAAATCAGAGCAGATTTTAAAATGCAAGTTGAAATGCAGGTCCTGATAGCAGTGTCATCTGTTGGGAAGGTAAAAAATTTCTAACCTGACAGACTTACTTTAACACCTGAAATAGGATTTTTATAAGTGGGATGCTCTGATTTCAACCTTTGTGTCCTTCCCATGGGAACATCCCTGACCACAGCCCTCCCCCATACCTGGGAACAGCTGTCTCCCACCCCAAGCTTACTCCCAGGCCTCATGCAAGGAGGCTGTGAGGTTTTTCTGTGGTAACCCCTGTTGTATCCACCCTTGTGTCTCCTTGTTGTCACCCTGTTGCTGCCGTATCACATTCCCTTTTTTATCCCAGTTGCATCCCCATGGCAACCCCATTGTAAGAGCTCTGTAGCCTCATTGCATCCTTCTTGGCTCCCTGCTGTGTGTCCCTTGCAATACCCCCTTTTACACCTCACGTGCTGAGGCTGTTTGCAATCCTCGGCGGGGTGAATCATCTCCCCGGGGTTAGGGTAAACCTAACCCTAACCCTAACCCTGGTGTAACTGCAGCCCACCTGCACCCCTCCCTTACACCCCCACTAAAGTCACATCACATCCCTCTGTTGCCACTCTGTGTCCCCTCTTGTACCGCCACATTGCCCCCTAGCACCCGTGTTACACCGTATACACCGCTCACACTCCTGCTACAGCCCAGCTGCATCCCCTGCTGTAGCCCCACTGAATTCCCATCACAGCTCCACTGCATCCCCCTTTCCACCCCTGTTGCAATCCCCATGGAAGCCCCATTACTTCTCCTCTGCATTCCTTTTGCAGCTTCACTGCATCCCCCCTTGCACATCCACGTCCCTCTACATCCCCCACTGAAGCCATCTTGCAGTCCTTGTCTCCTTTGTCATCGGCAAAGCAGCCCTACCACATCCCCCGTTTCACCGCGCTGTAAGCCCCGCTTTCTCCCCTGTCTCAGCCCCCTTTCGCCCCACGGTGTCCCGCCTATCCCCCGCGGCATCCCGCCCCGCGGAGCCGCATCCCCGCCTCTCGCTGCGCCCCGCGGAGCCGCACCGGCGCGGGGCAGGGCCAGCGGAGCCGCCGCGTTCCGCCGCCCGGCGCTGCCATTACGGCCAGGCACGGCTCGGATCGGCACGGTGAGAGGCGGGGGGGCGGGATGCGGGGCTGACGGTGGCAGTGACAGGACCGGGGGGGAAGTGAGCGGAGGGGGAGCCGTTCCGGCGTCCGGGTCTCCCCAGTCCCAACTGTGGTATCGCTGGGGGTGGGCAGAAGATCGCGAGCAAAGACGAAATCCAAGAAAAACATTAAAATATATATTCAAAGATTTATTTAATTTGCCTTTAATTCCCCCCGGGGGCTGTGTGCTGAGGAAAGGGGCCAGGATGTGGCCCCTGGGTACCTGGGTACCTCATCCTTGCCCAACTCTTTCCTACCCCCTCCCCAGGAGACGGCTGAGTCCGAGTGCACTCGTGACATCAGATGCGCCGTGCATGCTCTGCTGCGTGCGTGTGCGGCAGGATGAGGATGGCGCCGGGGTCCGGAAGGAGGATGGGCGCGCTGTGAATCGCTAAAGCAGCAGCTGACTGGCAGCACAGCTCGCTTGGCTCATGCTTTCCATCCACCTTGTGCCCAGGCTGGCTAGCAGTGATGCTGATAGCTTGTCCCTGCATATTCCCAGCCTGGGGTACAGCAGCAGGTCAGGGACCAGCACAGACTCTCTGGCTCGTGTTGGAGCCGTGTTGCACAGATACAAATGGCTCAGAGATGTACATTTTGTCAAACACTGATGCAGAAATAACGATTGCATTGCTGCCATCTATAAATAAATGAAGGTGAAAGGGCACATTTCCCACTCTCAGCTAATTGGAGGCTGGATTAAGATTGAGAGCTGGCTGATTGACAGACAGAGATCTTTCAAATATTAATAGATATTAAATTATAACTTCACTGTGATTAGCACCTAAAGGATCCCATAGCAAACTACACCACTGGGGAATCATAACCAGTTGTTATGTCATCGTTTATAGTCAATATTATTTTTGTGGCTGTAGATGATGCAAGGGTGAGGGAGTTTCCAAGGGAAAGGGTTCACTTGCATGTTTTGGGTTTTTCTTTTTGCATGGTTAGTGGTGTGAGTCAGGACTTCTGGGGGGCCCACCTCAGTCATCAAGGTTCCTCAAAGCACCCTATTTCTGCAGTGGAATCTTAAAATTGGTTGATGCATTTTCCTTTTCAGATCTTACAAAAAAAACCCAAAAACCATATGTTTTTGTGCTGCTTAGCTTTCAGTGATTCAGTGATCAGTGAGGCATGGACTGCACTGGGTACAGGTCGGCTGAGCAAAACCCTGGGTGCAACAGCAGCTGTGCAGCCCAGTCCTGATGAGCACAGGCCAAGACAGCCTTTGTGCCTGAATGTTGGCAGTGATGGCATACATGTGATTCCTGTTTGTGAAATCCCTGCCTGGCCTTTCTCAGGGCTCCCTGGTGCGTCAGCTGCCAGTTTCCTCTTCCAACCCAAGGGCCTTCTGCCTTGGGGTGGGTTTTGTGCTGCTGCTGCCTCTCTTGTGGGGCTGGGAAAAAAAATTAAAGGTACACGTGAGCAGCATTCTTGGGTCTTCCCCAGACCCCCTGGAGTGACACACTGAGTTTGAAAGAAGAAAAATACCTTTGTCTCATGACCTTGGGAATGTCCCCAACATGCTGTCCTCTGTAGTCACCTACAGACCCCTTCCACCTGTTGGCCCCTCTCTTTGCAGGTGTTGAGATCCCTGCTTGAATCTGACACAGGGGAGGAAGCAGCAAACAAATGGAGAAGTGGAGCCTCCCCTTAGCATCTGTCCTGGGACATCCCATTACCTGGGGTGCCTTGTTTTGGGGCTCCTCCCAGGTGGGATGCAGGCTGTGGTGGTTAGTGCTTGTTGCCAGCATGGGAACCAGTGCTCCTGGTTTGGCATTCCATGCCCTGCCATGTGTTCAGTGTGCTCGGCGTTATCACCGCCATGATCACACATCATTTATCAGAGCTGTCTAATTGATGTTTCCAAGTTAATTCATGAAGTGCGTGGAGATTCCTTCTAAGCAGTAGCACCACTTGGGGCCACTTGCTGTGACTCTTGGTCACAGGGCACCTCACAATGATGGATGAGCTGTGGTATGAAGACTTAGGCCTGTTACCAGAGGGCTTGTTTTATTTTTGAACAGCTTAAAAAGCTACTCTCTAGCTGGTAGCAAAGGACTGTGCTGGGCCTGGGGTGATGGTGCCTGGTCTCAGTGCAGCAAGGAGGATTATCATTCCTGGATGGGCAGAGCACCAGGGCATTGTCACTGTGGGTGCTCCCACAAGCCGGTGAGCCAGTGTCCCTGCAGCGCTGATGGGAGCAGGGGTGGCTTTATGGAGCAGGAGTGCTGGGGACTGTGGTAATGGTGGCTGCCCCTGACTGCATAGCTGAGCCTGCTGACATTCTCCTCCAACGGAGTTAGCCATGGAAATCAGAGACGATGCTCTGACCATGCAGAAGGAGGCTGGGAAGCACCATGGGGCTGTCCGCACACCCTGTTCCCCCAGGCACCCGTGGCCAGCGGGGCCCTGAGCGGGCCTGCCGGGCGTGCCGGGCCGGCACTGGGCTCACGGGGGGAGCGCTGGCTGCCACGGCCCTGCCGAAATGCTCGGGCCTGATGGGGACAGCAGCCCCGGCCGGCCCTGCCCCTGCGGCCGTGTCAAGGGGACCTCTCAGGGATTCTGTGGCTTGAAGCAGCCCCCAGGACTCATGCCGCGTGGCTCCGGCACACCTGTTGATCGCCCCCCGTGAATTTCACAGCCAAAACCTGCCAGCGAGTTCAGGCCAGCGCTCCGCCGCCTCCCCGGCGGTTTCCTGCGGCTGCGCCCCGCTCCAGCCTGCCTCGCACAGGGCAGGCTCGGGGGGAGGGGAGGGGCGCGGTGCTTGGAAAAGCACCTTTAAGAGAAAGAGGAAGGGGCTGAGAAGCAGCTTAGCTGGCTTTGTTCTAATAGCAGTAATCACCTGAAGGGCGAGCATGAGCCCGCGGCGCTGGACCGCGCGGCCCTGCCCGGCTGCCGCTCGGCTCTCCCCGCCGCGGCTCTCGCTCCCTCCCCGATGGCAGCTTGCACTTTGCTCCTGCTTGGAACAAGTGCACTCAGCGGGCTTTATTGTACAAAAGACCATATTTACATAAACAGGGGAGAGGTTGGTCAGAAGGTGAATATGAGACGTCTTGAAGGGAAGCTGGTGGTTTAAATACCCCAAACTCACCGGGCCGCGAGCCTGAAGGGAGGAGTGAAAGCAGAGCTGCGATTTTGACCTTGCTCTTTTACCCCTTCTTCTGACAGTGTTCTCAGACACTGCCGCTGCCCACAGCGAGCAGGACGTGTGCCGAGAGGAGGAGGGGATCTCTGCAAGGTAAGCCGGGCTTTGTAAAGGCTTTCTCCTCGTTTAGCTTCCTAAAAGTGGTGTGGAGAAGGAGGCGGTGATCCCGTGTCACAGGGGCTTCCACCATCCCGCGCTTTCTGCTTCCTGCGGCCTTCTCTCGTTACGGGTCACCCACGGGAACAACGGCGATTCCCCGTGCTTAATTTCTGCCCTGCTTTAGTGACACAGCCAGAGGCAGCGAGTGCTCTGGGGTGGGCTCCCTCGCAGCCCTCCTCGCGTGGATGAGGTTTATCGGTTGCATAAAATGTTTATCTACGAACTAGCCATGCTGAGATCAAGGATCTTTCTACAAAGTGTTAATTAAATGAATAACGACGTGTTGTTGCGGCTTGAAGACGGAAATGAGGTTTAGCTTTGTTAAGGAGGTGCCTGGTGGAAATATTTACAGTATTCCTCGAATTTCAGTTATTCCTATTTTCCATGGGGGAAGAGGGCAAATCTGGCTGGTGCTTCGGAGGCTCTGCACACCGTTTCTGGTGCTTCGGAGGCTCTGCACACCGTTTCTCCGGGCTGGGTACCGTGGGGTCCAGCGTGATCCTGTGACGGTGTCCGGGGGCGGGACGCTGTGACTGTGGCGACTGTGTTTCTGTTTCATGGCATCGCGTACCACACACACACCACCGGGAGTCTTGCAGGAAGCTGGAAAAAATCTGACTGTCCTGACGCGGAGAAATGTGGAGGTGGTGATGGGGGGTGAGCGGCTGGTGGGAGAGCAGGCATTGAGGATATTTCGTTTTACAAATGTGGGACAAAAGTGTATTGCTAAGGAAAGGGGGAGCCATGAGTTGGTTAGCAGGGGGAATTAGAGGAGATGTGTGTGTGGCAGCATTTAATCTCTTAATGAGAAAAATATATCCCAGCTGCCTGTGGTAGGGAGAGTTCAGGGACAAACATGACATTGTGCAAGAGCTTGCCCTTGCTCCGTGTGTCCTCCACCTGCTGTCCCTGAGCCTTTCTGAAGGATGCTGGGGAGCAGGGATGGGAACATGCTATCTACAGGAAGTGCAAAATGTGGGGCAGAAGTGAGGGTGTGGGGATGGGGATAAATTTGTTTCTGATAAGGGCTGGACACTAAAGAGTGCCCTGCCAAGTTGTTTCCTTCTGTTCCCAAGTCCATTAATAGGCTCTGCTTCCTTGATTGGTTGGTGCCTGTGCAGAGCAGTAATGAGAGCTGGGCGCAACCCATCAGTTCTAGGTCAGTGGTTGTGTGCTGGGGATTTGGGATCAGGCAGGGGGAGAGAAGGGAGACAGAGCTGGATGCCTGCCTCCAAAAAGAAGCGTGGAGCCTGCCTGAAGCTGGCCTTGCCTGCAGCCATGGGGGGAAAGGCTGCCTGCCCTCATGGTGGGGGAAAGGCTGCCTGCACCCCTCGGGGGGCTGTGCTTGCTGTGTCTGCAAAGTGTCCCAAGGGCCATTTGTGCCCTGTTATTTTCATGGACATGTTCCGTGCCTGTTATGGGGCTCATTGTCCATTTGAGATGTGCTCTCCTGAGAGGATAACATTGCAGTGATTAAATCCATTAAGGAGCCAGAAGAAATAGGTGGGTTTTAAAACTGAAGGAGACTTTGCTGTGCTCCTGAAGGATATCTGCCTCGTGCAGAGCTGCTTTCCTCTTCTTCTGCAGCAGAGTTCTCATTTAGCAATGATTTGTCATAATTTCTGGTGGTTAACCTCAGAACTTTCCCTAAATGCAGGCAGGTGAGGCTGAGTAGTGAAGAGCAGCATGGACCTGGATATGCTGAACATGTTTGTCATCGCTGGTGGCACCCTGGCTATCCCCATCCTGGCCTTCGTGGCCTCATTCCTCCTCTGGCCCTCGGCGCTCATCCGCATCTACTACTGGTGAGTGTGTGAGCCCTGCTCCTGGCTCCTCTCGTGTGGCAGGGGTGGAACCTGCACCCAGCAGGGCCCCCACACACGGGTCCCAGGGCTGTGGACAGAGCTGGGTGTTCCTGCCCCTGACAGCAACAGCAGCAGTGACCTGAGGTCCTCCAGGGCCGTGCCAGCTGTGCACAGCTTTAAACACATCTGGGAGAACAAAATGGTATTTTCCAATTGCATTTTTGCTGTGGAGGCCTATGTCTGTCAAGCCTCTTCTGTCCCAGGGGTTTGACTGTGCCAAGGGACAGCTGGCCAGGCTGCCACTGCAGTGCCAGCTTGCAAGATCTCTGTAAGCCTCTTTGGATTGCTTTTCCCAAAGACAGGGCTGAGACTGGGAAAAGCACTGCTGTTGCAGCAGCTCCACCAGCCTGGCAGCTGTGGCAGTCTAGTGGCCTCCCAGCTCATCAGTGCAGCTGTGGTGTGGGTGTCCCTGGGCTCACATGCTCCATCCCAGCTGACAGCCTGCTCAGCAGCCAGGGACTTTTCCCTCATTAGTAGTTACGGATGAGGCTTTTCTCATCCTCTTTTTCTCTTCTGGAATGGAGCATCAGAGAAGATGGAGGGACGCTTTTCCTTATTCCCTTTAATATTGTCCTTTCTGATGCTAGGAGGCAAGCACTAAATCCTTCAGTCCTCCTTTGTCCCTGGATATCAGTGATAAGCCCACTGGCAGCTTTCCTCTCTGGGTTTGTGGCAAGGAAAAGCTGGAGTTACTCTCTTCAGAAGTCAGGGCAGAGTCTCATCCCCAGCGTGGAGCAGGCAGCAGCAGACAGACAGCACAGGCAGAGCAGGCAGCGTGTCAGGCTGCCCTCAGGTGCTGCTGGCAGATGGTGGCTTCTACAGTTCAGCTTAGGGGTGTTTCCAAATCCAAGTGACTTCCTGTGACAGGAAGGTGTTTGTCCATCACAGCACTCAGGGATGAAGCAATGGGATGAAGCTAAAGGCTTTCTAAAGGCACTTTAATTAGAAGCCATTTATTCACAGCATAAATGAATCCTCTTAATAAAGAGGAGGAAGCAAGGGATGAAAGCCCCAGTGATGGGATCACCACTCTGCAAAGGAGAGCAGGCAGTGCCACAGCCTTTGGCTGCCCCATGGGTGTCTGATGGTACTGGGTTTGGCAGTCAAAGTGGTTTATTTCTTTGGATATGTGAGCAGCTGGTGAAAGCCAGGGAGGACCCTGATGGACTGAGGTACTGAGGAGGATCTCTGGAAAGCACTGCAGGGTGAAGCCTTCAGCAGCCACAGGCAGGGGTGGCAGGACAGGGCAAAGGAGGTGCAGGGTCTATGCCAGGAGCTTGGAGGAGCCAGGCTGAGTGGAAGGTAGAGAATGCCCTGCTGCCTTTGTTCTTTTGGGGTTGCAGATAAGGAGCTGAGTGAAAATGCACTGTGGGCAGGTTGGTCTGTGTTTGGGTGAGGGAGGGAGCATGTGAGCAGGGGTCAGAAGGACTGTCTTCTTTTGAAGGGTGTGGTCCCCCCATCTCTCTCGTCCAGCATTTCTGGCAGTATGGGCTTCTTGCAGGAGTAATTGCAGTGCACTGTGTGTCATGGGCACCGCTTTTGTTAGGGACAGTGGACGTGAAGTGTGGGTTTGCCCTTACTCTTTCTTTTCTTTTGGCTTCTTTCCAAGTTGGAGTTTTTTGAAGGGTGAAATTACTGTGTTTCCCCATCAGCAGAGGCAGGAGAGGTGCAGGAAGCATGCCGTGCTGCCCTCCTCTTTCAGCCCCATGCAGCTCCAGCTTTGCAGCACCGTTCCTCGGAGGTCCCAAGGGAAGCTTCTCCCTTCTTCCATAATTCCCTGCCCGCTCCTTCTCCTCACTGCCAGTCTGTGTCCTCAGCTGGTGCAGTCAAGGGTCACGCTGGGCCCCCTCACCCAGGGCCTCACTGCTTTCCCTGCTGCTAATGCGCCTTCCTGCCTGGCAGGATATCCAAGTCTGCCCCGCTGACCCCAGCCCTGCCACTGCTCTGCCTCTGCTACCACAGGGGTTAATCAGTTTAGCTGCTGCCACTAAGTGAGTTAACACCTTGTGGGGGATCAGTTCAGCTTTGCACAGATTATTTTGCCTTCTACTGAATTGATCCATTAGGATCAGTTGCTAAAAATGTTATCATCTTGCCCATCGGTAGTTTACACCAGTGCCTTTGAGGCAAGGACTCTTAAGACACTTATTAGGGAGAAATTCACCTCTCCTTGTAGGACCAGCACAGAGCTGAGATGCTACTTAAGCCCCACTAACTCCCTTGAAAAAGGGATTACGCTAAAAGAGGATTTCACTGTGCATAAACTTTGAGTGGGCAGAGAGGTGGGACAGTCCAGAAGTGTTGGTGACCTTGTTCTTGTGTCTTAAATAAACTCTGATACGGCACATAAAAGTACTTGCCAGTGTCTTGGCCAGCAGGAGTAGCCCAGCAGTTGTCCTGACAAGGGTCGTATCTGAGCACGGGGGAAGAGCAGACAAAGGGGCCCCGTTCTCTGCCTTGGGCTGCACGTACACATCATGTGTCCCAAGTGTCACCGATAATCTCTGTCTAGGTCCTCCTGGCCAGCAGTTTTGCTGCGTCCTCTGAGCAGGCTGCAAGCATATGCTGGCAGGACTGTCTGCCTCTGCTTTTAGAGGAACAGCCTTAGGGTTAGCTTGCTATCTTCTGAGGTGCTAAACCTAGTGTAAGGATGGTCCACTCCAGTCCTTAGTGTGTGTGTAGATACATTTTCAAAGGCTGTCTAGCTGGTCCATGAGAATTGGGTTTCTGTGGTACTCCAGAGTGACATGGTTGTTTTGGCTGGGAACTGATGTGCTTGTCTGTGGGGTGATGTACTCCCATTGATGCAGGACTGTATCCAAACAACCCTGTGACAGATCCACCTTATCCACCTGGGAGAACTGTCTCCCTTGGCCTGCCCATCCTCTACACTGCCTTGCCACGTGTGCTGTCCCCCCTCCCTTGGGTCTCTGTTCTCATACCAGCCTTTGGGCATTTTCTCTTTCACCATTGTTGTTTTGGCCCATTTCCATTGCTAAATGAGTTATTTAGAGTATTTTTAAAAATTCTTAACAGACAGAGTGTCTCCACAAACCATCTGCAGTGCAGCCAGCAGCCAGTACTACACTTGTCCAGGGACCAGGTGCACAGGGTTAATCCCAGTAGTCCCATTATGGCACCAGTGAGAGCCCAACCTAACTGGCCTTAATAAGCCAAAAAAATCTGTGGCTGCTTTCAGACTTGTCACCTGCCTTCTATTGTGGCTGGGCCCTGGTCTTGTCTTTCTCACTGGTGTTTTCTCCTTGTTTCCAGGTACTGGCGCCGAGCCTTGGGCATGCAGGTTAGATATGCAAACTACGACGATTATCAGTTTTGCTATTCCTATAGAGGCAGACCTGGGTACCGACCGTCCATCCTGATGTTACATGGGTTCTCAGCCCACAAAGACATGTGGCTGTCCATAGTCAAGGTGGGATTCCGTTTCTACCATGTTGCTCCTTACTGAGAATTGATGGTCCTGGGCTTGGGGGCAGTGTGGGGGGCCCAGTGATTGCATGCATGGGATGGGATGGCTGCTGTACCATGCTAGGAACACGCTGCTTAGCTCCATGCCCATTGCTTGCTGCATCCCTTCACCCTATAAGGTGCAGAGCTGCAGGGGAAGAGCAGTACACACCTGCTGCCTCCACGGGAAGCAAGTCTTGGCCGTGTTTTCTCATCATGTCATCCTTGGTACACAAGCTGACTTATTCTGGTACACGAGCAACCAGGGCTGCCAGGAGGAGAGTGACACCCCCTGCCCCTGCTCCCACCCGGGCTCCCCACTTGCCATCCCTGGGCTTTGCAGCAGTTTCCTTGCACTGTAACCACCCCTGGTTTGTTTCTTCAGTTCCTGCCAAAGAACCTGCACTTGGTATGTGTGGACATGCCTGGGCACGAGGGCACGACCCGCTCGGACTTGGATGATTACTCCATCAGTGGGCAAGCTAAGAGAATACACCAGGTAAAGCTCCAGCATCACATCGCTTCTGCAGAGGGATGTGAGGATGTGAGGGATGCTAAGCCCTGTGGGTCCCTTCCCAGGCAGCCAGAGCCACCAGCCTCAAGCTTTTGAGTTGAATTTCTCTAATGAAATGACCTGACCCCATGCTGTTGTTTCCTCTCTCCTAACAACGCTCCTTCTGCTCCCTGCCAGTTCGTGGAGTGTATCAAGCTGAACAGAAAGCCCTTTCATCTGGTTGGCACTTCCATGGGGGGAAATGTTGCTGGTGTCTATGCTGCTCAGTACCCAGAAGATATTTGCAGCCTGACCCTCATCTGTCCTGCAGGTGGGCAAGGCAGGGGAGACAGAGAGAGGGCAAGCAGAAGCCAGTGCAAAAGCCCAGGGCAGTGCTGGACGCAGCATAGATGTGTAGTGCAAAGCATTTAGAAATAATTCATATTTACACTGTGGAAATCTCTGGCAAAGCACAAGAGAAAATTGCATCTTTGTGCTGACTACTCTTCTCCAGGGGTTTGGTGTTTGCCCCACTGTACTTTGGTTAGAGTCAGGACTAGGGCAAATGGGACAAGTTCTGCTCTGAAGAAAAATGCCCTTTCCCTTGGAATGGCAGGCATTTTACATGGCATGTGTGCAGCCTCTCAGTTCAGGGGCAGGATTCAAGATTGCAACAGGAATGGCCTCCCTGTTCTGGCCTCCTGGAAGCCCTAGTGTGTTGAAGGCCTGGGGCTTTGGGAACTGGAGAGCTCTGACCTCCCACCTTTGGGTGCCTGCAGTGGGAAGAACACTTCAGGGCTGGGCACAGGTCAGCAGGGTGTCCTCTCTGTCCCCTCCATCCCCAGCATCCCCTGCACAGGGGGCTCAGGGAAGCCTGGGCATGATATGCTGCAGGAGGCATGGAAGGCAGAGAGCCTCTCTGCCAGGGAGGCTTTGCTGCATCCCAGTTGTCATAGCAGCTCCTTTCCCCTCCCACACAAGGAAAGTGACTTCCAAATAAGCACTAAGGAATGAAACCAAGCAAATGTTACCTAGCTACCAGGCTCTGGGGGCGTTGGGTTCCCACTCCCCTCTGGGAGAAGTGTTGACTGCCTCTCTGGCTGTTGCTGGATGTGAAACCTCTGTGTGGGGGCTGCCGAAAGGTTTAGGATTAAATTGCTGGGGAATTTTTCTTCAGAGCTGCATGCAGATGGGGCTGCTGAAATTTTCTGTCCAACCCCGTGCAGTGGCAGCCTGGGCACTAGTGTTTGCATGTGATGAGCACATAAAAACAAGCACTATAGCTTTTGCTGAAGTAGTCATGCATGTCTACACCTCGTGCTGTGCCAGCCTGTGGGGTGCCAAGCCCTGGAGCAGGAGGGAGGCTGGGTACCTCTGGGTGCATATTGAAGTGGCTGTATGTGCAGATGTTTTCTTCCCCTCTTTTTATAAAATTTTTCAAAGAGTGAGCAGGCAGGAAGCCAGAGGTAGGGATGAGGAAGGTCAGTGCAAGGATGTTTTTTTGTTTGGTCTGTTTGCGGGGGGATCTCATCTGGGTTTCACCCCTTCTCATTTCACCCAGGCCTGCCAAGTACCACTGAGAGCAAGTTCATTAAGCAGCTGCGGGAGCAGCAAGAGTCCAAATGCATGGACAGGATCCCTTTAATCCCCTCGACGCCTGAGGAGATGGCAGACATGCTGAAGCTTTGCTCCTACGTTCGCTTCAAGGTGCCACAGCAGGTGAGGAGCTGGCTGTGGAGGCTGGGAAAGGGGAGCCTGGAGGTGGTGAGAGGGTTTGCTCCTCCCTGAGCCTACATAGTGGCAGCTGAGGCAATGCTGGGGGTAGAGCTAGAGCTGCCAACGCTGCCATCACCCAGGGGAGACACACCCAGCCCCGCTCCCTGCATTTTTCCAGCACTTTCCCTTCAAAGCCTCTTTTCTAAGCTCCCTCTGGCAGTCCCTGCTGGAATTCCTGCTCCAGTGAAGTTTTTGGCAGCAGGCTGGGATGTAGAAGGGTTTTTTAGTAAATATGGCTGGCAGGAAGCATTAAATTACTAAGGCAGCTGTTGTCTGATGTGGAGGGAGATTGTTTGCTGCTTTTTAAGTAAAAGTAATGGAAATGTTAATTGCGTCATTGTCAAGCAAGAGGAACTTGTGAGGGGCTGGCTATTAAACTAGTTTTTCTTAGGAAGTCTGGAGTGAGTAGATTGGAGAGTAAGAAAAAAATGTAAGGTAGTGCCAAGACCTTTTGTGTTTTTGCCAAAAGAGTTCAAGAAGGAAGAAAAGTGCAGTCATGGCTGAGGTGGCTGCTGGCCAGGGGCAGAAATTGGGTCTGCATCATAAAAGACAATATTACCTGTTGCTGAAATGTATGTTGCTTAAGCGTGGTTTCAACAGCCCCACATGCTTAGGAAGAAGCTCATGCTGGGTCCAGACTTGCTGGGGAGACAAGGGCTGCTCTTGGGTGCTCTTGGGCACACTCAGCCCTGTGCAGGGCATGGGTCCCCTCCAGCAGCTCTCCTCTGCTCTCCCTGCAGATCCTCCAGGGCCTCGTTGATGTTCGCATCCCACACAACGAATTTTACCGGAAATGTAAGTGCCTGGTGGCAGCCTCCTCCCTGGGCTTTCCAGCAGGATCCCCGGGGCCTGGGGACCAGCTGTTTCCAGCCCCCATGTCCCCAGCACATGGGTGAGCCCCAGCACCCCCGTGCTGTCTTGCTGAGGGTGGGAGGGGGCAATGTCATTGACAGATTTGGGGACACACCTTGGTCACTGGTAGCAATGCACTGCCACCCCCACTGGTGACGGGGTTGTTGCTTCACCCTCGCCCTTCCACCTGGGCTAACAGGTACCTGTGAGGAGATGTTTTGGCTCAGGGCCCCTCTGCAGCTGGGCTTGGTGGCAGGGCAAGGACAGCCCATCTTCTCTGCATGGGCTTCCCAGTGAGGGGGTACAAGCAGGACCACTTGGCCCCCTTTGAGACAGGAAGGCCAAACATCTCCCTGTTGGACTGACTCTCCTCTTGCCCCACTAGTGTTTTTAGAAATCGTGGATGAAAAGTCCAGGCACTCTCTCCATGAGAACATGAGCAAGATCAAAGCACCGACACAGGTCATCTGGGGAAAGCAGGACCAGGTAGGCACATCCCCCACAGACTGTCTCCATCTCTGCCTGTGCCCACCCACGGGGCACGGTGGGGGCTGTGCTGCTGAGCTGTGCACTGCTCTGCAGGGAGCTGGCACACGTGTCCTGGTCCCCAGTGGGTTTAGACACAGGGGTTCAGCAGGGTGATGGGCAGAAAGCTGACAGCCAGCTTTCCAAAGAGTGGAGAGGGCAGTGCCAGGGCTGGGGACTGCTAGGGGCAGGTGGGGGGTAGGTGCCAGCACTGAAGCAGGGAAGGGCTGGGAAGAAGAATGAAGTCAGTGAAGAGTTGTCCTGGCAACTGGGAAGAGACGTGCTGTTTGTGGGCAGGCTTTGAGGCAAAATCTTAGGGTTTGTTTCAGAGGAAGGAGTGGGAGGGAAGATGTGGGAGGAAGCAGGCTGCAGGCATGCAGAGGGCTCTGTAAATGCAAAGATGCAAGTGTTTGTGATACCTTTGCATTGAGGCAGCAGCTGAGAAGCATACAAGAGAGTTCCCTGCTGCGTGCTGAGTCTGGCACCTTGCAGCCTCCTGCCCTGTCCCCAGGCAGGGCGCTGGCATCACAGGGTCTGTGCCTGCGTCCCTGCTCTGCATCTCGGCTGGACCCCAGCAGGGTTTCTGCAGTGTGCAGCAAACCCCCTCTCTGGCTGTGGCAGTGACTGTTTTTCCCTGCTGTCCAGGTCCTGGATGTTTCCGGTGCCAGTGTTTTAGCCAGCGCCATTCCAGACTGCCACGTGTACATCCTGGAGAACTGTGGGCACTCCGTGGTGGTGGAGCGGCCCCGCAAGACAGCCAACCTCATCCTGGAGTTCCTGGCGCTGCTGCACAGCATCGACAACAACAAGAAGCAGGCGTGAGCGTGGCAGGGAGCCAAGTGCCCATGCCAGGTTAAATTGTAAAGTACTGCAGCTTTGATACGTTCTCAGGGATCTTGTACGAATTGGGGTCAATGTGCCAAAGTCCCTGAGGAAGGCAGAATCACTGATACCTAAACCTATAGCACCACTGGCACAGCAACCTGGGGTCATTGAGCAACCTCCATAGATGCAGGAACAGAAGCAGAGTATCTCCCTTTTCTGCTTAGAGGTAAGGTAGAAATGAGCTGAAATCACCCAGTGCTCATCACACAGCCACCCATCTTACCTGGGTTACCAGCACGTAGTTGTTCATGACATTTACCTAAACTATATATGAAATGTAGGAAGATACCTGGAAACCTGGACTGAGACTGAGACTTAACAATATTTTTACTACTTAGAGTCCATCGTGTTGCATGCTGCTGTGCTGTAAGAGAACCCCCAAGTGCTCCAGGCGTCTGCTTGAGTGCTCTTTGTGTAGCTCCTGATCTCATGATTTATCCAGAAAACAACAGAAACCTTCATGTGTGGAAGTCCAATGACTGTATGTGCAAAAATGTTTACACTCCGAGTGGGTTTTTCTAAATCTCTGAGTAGCTCCTGTGTATTTGTAATGCCTTAACGTTGCCCAGGCGTGGTGTCTGTGCACAGCCCAGGGTTGGCTCTACCTGAGGGTGGACACAGCCAGTGACAACGGGGTGCAGGCAGCAGCTTTGGGACTGGGGCAATGGGAACTGCCCGGGGTGATCCGGCCCCTGAGCTGGAGTCAGCAATAAGCCCATGGCCACGGTGTGATTCAGCCACCTAGGGTGAACTCTTGTCTCAGCTCCTCTATCACATCGTGCTGCTGAACACCTGGGTGTAAATAATGATTTTCTTAATGAATTCTGTGAATTCTGCAAAAGCCAATGCCACTGGAACAGGCTGAGGGGGGGAGGGGGCTGTGTGTGACCAGCACAGGGAATGGTGAGGAGGGGTCAGCTCGCCCATGAGGTGCTGGGCCGTGGTGGGGAGAGGTACAATGTACTTCTGCATCCTCTCCACGGTTACAGCTCCTGCCCAAGTGAAGCTGTAGGCAGGAACAGGCAATACAGGCAAGCTGCACTTTACAGGCTGCAAGGTGATGTTCAGGGATGGATCCTGCACCTCTCCAGGCGTGGTCCCTCACTGCCTGTCCGGGGACAGAGCGCTGCTCCAGGTCTCAGGCAGGACCAGGGGGTGCTGGAGGGCAAGGCAGTGCGTGGTGCCCTCAAAGGCAAAGCAGCAGGTGGCTGTCACCCCTCAGTCACCCCAGCCCTCCTCAGGGGGTGACAGTGGGTGCTGTTAGAGTGTCCCCCCCCGACTGGGAACACAGCTGACAGCTTCCTGGGGTGCCCGGATCTGTACATACATCTGAAACTCCCTGTCAGCTTCTTGGCTCTTTTTAAGAGAAGAAATATTGTTCTTTTAGAAAAATAGAAATTTGCTGTTAATTGCTTGGTATTGTTTCTACTACAGGAGTTGATTTAAAGAACAAAATTGCTGGTAGTTTTATGTGGTAAAAGCCAGAAAAACTTGTTCAGTATCTATATGGTTTCTCATGCCACAGATTGCTGTATGCAGAGGATTTATATGGCTATTAAAATCTAGTGATTTAAGGAGTCCATGGTGCAATGACTATTTTTTCCTTTGAAGAAGAAGGTGACTGTGCTGTGGGATGACAGAGGGATCCTGCTCTGCTGCTTCTTTCCTCCCCACATTTCTGGGAGATGCAGGTTTTGGCTCAAGGAATATTATGTAATATTGCTTGAAAGAAAGAGAGAAGTTGAGGACCCAGAAGGCTCAAGTCTCATTTCTTTGATGCCAACACACATTTTCCTTTATTTTACATATTATTAGGAGAAGGTGGCACCAAACACTCAAGAAGAAAATAAAACCTCAAGGAGCAAGGGAATTGTGTTTTAAGCACTAAGATTCCTCTTAAAACCCTTGCAAGCATGTTAAATGCCAATTTCATCTATTATTGCAAGCCTTACTGAACTCATACACTGTGCTAGGAATAACATTACATCAATTTGCAGGCAAAAGTATTTGCATTTCTCCTTCTCCCAGGAGGCTCTTGAGACTCAGCAGCTGCATTGTTTGCCAGAGGAGCTGCAGGGAGGGCTGAGGAGCATCTTCCTGGCTGTGCCCTGCCGCTGCTCCACTGCTGCAGTGATGCATGCCTCAAGGTGACCCTGTTAATGATCACAGCACAGAGGTGGGAGGGGGTTTCTCCCCCACAGGTAGGGGCTGAGCTTGGGCTGGCTCAGGGCATCTGCATCATGTGTTGCAGTCTCTTGTAGTTCAGCAGTAAAACCCTTCAGGTCTGTGTTGGAGGGGGCCCAGGCTGGCCCCATGGCAGCTGAGCCTGCTGGAGAGGCAGGGATGCAAGCAGCCTGCACCTGCAACACACCTGGCTGCTGCTCCCGTTAACCCTCCTTGCCTGCTGGGAGCCAGGAGAGCCCCACTCCAAACAAGGCTTGCTGCCTTGGCTCTGGCTGCTGTCCCCGTGGCACGGAGCCCCCCGTGAGCTCTCATCACCAGCCAGGTACAGCTGAGGCTCTGGGCTGGTGAGGGGGCTTGGGAAGGGGCAGAGGCTTCGGCTGCTCCTGGTGGGTTTTTGTGTCTGGAGGGCAGAACTGATGGAACCATAAGGAAACTACTGGATCCCAGTTGTGGCAAGCTCAGTACTGGGAACCTGCACGTAGCCTGAGCATCCTGGTGTGGCAGGAGGGAGGAGCTGCCCTTTTGGTTTGGTGCCCCATGTGTGAGTATTGCTTTCCCTGTAGCCACGTGGCTAAGCCAGGTCTGTACTGGGCTGGGCTGGCTCACGAGGCTCCTGGAGGTGCAGGTTCCCACAAAAGCTGAGTGAGGAGTAGGCCCTTGGTTGTTGTGGGTCTTGATAAGGCTGTTGCACTGTATCCTGAAAAGAGGTTCCAAAACACATCAGGGCTGGCTTGAAATAAATCTAATACTACTTCTGAGCGAGCTGTTTTGCTGCTGAGCATCCAAATCTGTGGTGGTACCTGCTCATGGAGTGTCACTGGGAGCAGGAGGGACAGAGCTGGTGGCAGCCAAGTACCTGGGTACTTGGTGTGTGATGCTGAAAGGGTACTTGCAGTTGATGCTGAAAAGGAAAATGTGATGGCCTTGAAACACGGACCTTCAGGGAACCCTGGTCTGGGTCCTGTTCCACACAGCTGCAGACAGATGCTTGTCTGCAGTAGAAAACCATTTCCCCCCCTTTTTTCCGCCAGCAAAGGAGATTAATTAACATTTGCTGCCTTGTGGGAGGGTTTCACCAGCATATCTGCACAAAGCACCCTCTGAAGGGCAGAGTGGTGCTCAGGGGGTCTGGCACTGTGGTTTGAGTGCTGTCATGGGTGCTCCCCACTCTGGCAGGCCACCACTCAGCTGAGCCTTCCCCTGCCCCGATGTGTGTCACAGTCCTCCCAGACACATCATTTTTCCCTTGGAAGCCTGGATGAGAGTGCCCTGGAGCATGTTCCCCTCACCCACTGCAGAGGGGGCACCGCAGCCCCAAACCCCGTCCCTGTAGAGCCTGGGGCAGTGTTCCCTGTGTTCCCTGTGCTGCCTGGTGACATGGCAGGGGTCCCCTGCCAGGACCCTGCAGCTGAGACTTGCAGCCAATGCAAGAAAAAACATACAGGGTCTGGCAGGGGGCTCGGGTTTGGTTGTGTTTCCTTCTGGGAGGCAGTTCTCCGAACTGGAGCCTCCTGGGGGTGGTTTGGGGTTGCTCATTAAGCGCTCGCTGAGCCGCCAGCAGCCGGTGACTTCTCCCTGCCATTCCCTGCCCGACAGCGCTGCCTGCCTGCTGCCTCTGCCCGCGGCTCCCGACGTGGAGAGCAAACCTCCGGCTTCCTTTCATACAAAGCAGGCTCCTAGGCTGATATGAGTCTTGCTGAGGCTGTTTCACTATATCCTGGAAAGAGGCTCCCAAACACAACAGGGCTGGCTGGAAAAAAAATCTAATATTTCCTGTGAGCGAGCTGTTCTGCTGCTGAGCATCCCGGTCTGCGGAGGGACAGAGGCGGCGGGAGCAAACAGCCATGAGCGGGGTGGCCTGACACGGTGACAAGGCTCCGGCGGTGCCGGGAGTCCGGCACACGGCAGCCAGGGCCACCTCAGCCTCTCCGAACCCCACTCTTTCCCAGAAACCTCCGTTTGCTTGGAGAGCAGCCGCAGCCAGCCCTGGTGCGCTGCTCCGCTGATTTTGTTTGCTTGGGCGCGTTCCGGGAAAGCTGCACGGGAGCTCTGGCCGAGCAGGTTTCTGGTAACTGCGCTGGGATTTCGCTTCCCCGTGGGTTTGCAGAGCGTTCCCTGGCCCGGGCCCTGGCTCGCAGTGTCCTGCACTCCCGGGTGGGTCACACAAAGTCCTCTCGAGGGACAGGCACAGCTGCAGGAGAGGCTTCACTCGGGTCTGCCATGGCCTCTGCCTTTTCCAGCCGAGCATTGGGAATGCCCAGGAAGGAGAGCCTGACCACCAGGACAGTGTCTGTCTGTCACTGAAGGAGCAGCCCCAAAGCCATTTCATGGGACAGTAGTAATGTAGAGCTGGGACAAATCTTCACAAGATTATCCAGGCCATCCCTAGATCATCTCCTGCATAAGCCCTGAAGGTTCCCACTGGTTTTGGACACTCCACCACAGTTCCCCAGGAGCTGATGGGTTCAGAGGGCATCCTAATGAACAGCCTGAAGCTGTGTTGAAATTTAAGCTTATTACTTCTCCTGTTCCCATCAGATGCTGGCAGTGTTCACATCTCCCTGCAGCTCCCTCTTTGATGTTCACAGATCTGCTGTGTCCAGAATAAAATCCCACAGGCTTTGCCAGCTGCTGCTGTACCTGGAGGGATAATGCAGCCGCTGGGCACAAGATCTGGGCTTACACTTTGCTGGCTTCAAACAACGGGTGTCTTGCGACAGTGTTTCAAGGGCAAACGTCCCAGTCAGTTTGGGTTAAAATAAATAAATAGTAACAATAACAACCCCTCCACCACCCCAAGTGAGGTGGCTCAGCCTATGAGTCACCTTTTCATGCAGCCTTGATCCCCAGCCTGCTTTTGCACGCGGGTAATTCATACCTGGAAGCAGAATACTGCGTAAGTCTTTCCAAAACTACATCCTCCTTTCCCACACCTTTTTTTTTTTTTTTCTATTTGCCAAGATCATCTGTATTCTACCACAGCCCTCCAGTAGATCCCCTTGGGGCAGTCTCAGCTGAGCCACTCATGGAGCCGTGGAGAATCTTCCACTGTCTCCTCCCCTTTCCACAGAGAACCTCGGGTAACTAATGAAAAGAATCTTGCTGCATGTTTTGCAGCCATCTTGCAGGTTGAGTTAATCTTGAGCTTCTTTATTTTCCCAATGGGAATGACAGAGCCTTGCTGAGCAAAAAAACCTTACTAAAGAAATAGAGTCCTTGCTGCTCTCTCTGCTTCTGGGACCTGTTGTCCTCTTGCAAAAGCAAATTGATTTGGAGTAACATGACTAGTTCTTACTGACCATCCTGACCGTTTCTAGGTGCTCTGTACTTCCGTTCCCGAGCTGTTCGGGGATGCCATGGGGACCAGATCCAATGCCGGGAACACGTTTGCCTTAGCATAAATAGCCATTGGTGGTGTCCACGAGGTTGGGAAATATTTGGAGTCCTGCCTTTGACCCCGTAGGCAGGAGAGGTCGTTGGCTTGTTTGCAGAGCCAGGTGAAGGCTGGAGGACGTGGGGCTGCTTGGGACCGTGGGTGTTGAGAACGGGGACCTCACAGGTGCTTCTGTGCCCAGCGGCTTCCCATCCTCGATGCCCGCGGCGTCCCAAATTTCAACATCCCAGCTCCCCGGCAGTTGTGGCGAGGTGGCACCAGGTGGCAGCAAGGGACCGGCACGGGGAATTGCTGCGGCACTCCGAGGGGAGCAGCGAGAGCCGTAATGCTGCACCCCCTGCTCCAGGTGCCCCCAGGTGGGGTCCAGCTCGTTGCCTGGGGCTGATGCCCGGGCAGGGTCTGGTCTCTCTCGGCGGGAGCTGGGTCCTGTGTGCGCCCCCAGGCCGTGTGTTACCCGTCCAAGGGCACAGCCCAGCATTCCTGTCTCATGCTTGGAACTGGGTGCTCTTGGGGCCAAATTCTCTCCTTCCATAAGAGGACCAGACTTTGGAGTTTAAGGGCAAGTCACCCCTGCAAGAAGTTAAATAATTAACCTGTTTTGCAAGAGCCTCAATATGGCCTGCAAGCAAACCCCTCTGTGCTCCTGGGGATGCTGTCACCAGCTCACAAATGCTGGTCTTGGGTTCTGGCTCAGAGGGGGTGATGTGAGGGAGGTGAAAGAAGAAGACTAGGTGGTGCTGGGCCAGGCCAGCCCTGTGGGAGAAGTGTCAGTTCATGCATCCCATTCCAGGGGGGCTGGAGGAGGTGGGGGTGATCTATCTTCTCCCTTCGTCCCTGGAGAAAGGATGTCAGACCTCCCATCCCACAGGGCTCAGGAGAGCCCTTGCAGCATTCTCCTCTCCTCTCTGCATCTCTCTTCAGAACCCACTCCCCTGCCAGCAGTTCCTGTCTGAGCAACCAGAGAGCTGTGAAGGGCTCTGCCATTTTCCCTGCAGTGCTCAAGAGCTACCAGCCTGGGTTCAGCTGGTGGGAGACTCACCTGTGCACAGTTACCTGGCAGGGCTCTCTGGCTGTGCCTGGCTTTGCTTTAGCTGTGTTTGAACCCGAGCAGGCGGCTCTGGGTGGAGGCCAGTGCGGCGCCAGCGCACAGAAATGGGATCAACAGCTTCTTCCTGTTGTGCAACTGCTGCACAGCCCACGTAGAGAATTTTTGGGAGATTTGTCAGGGCTTTTGTTTTTTTTCAGTTAATATTTATTTGCTTGTTTTGGGTCTTGCTTTCACAAACAAGGAATTTAAATAGTACAGGCTGAGAGGGGGCATGAACCTTGCCTAGCCTGCCCTGAAGTGCTGTGTCCTGCTCCAGAAGCTCCCTGTGCCCACCCCAGCTGCCCTCACCTGCCCAGCCTGGGCTTCCTCTGAGCATGACTCCCCAGTCCCACTTGCTCTGGAGCTGGGATTCTGGCACAAACATCATTTACAGTTTTGCCTGGCAGCCTGCACGTGTTTCTGCTCTTATGTAATAGTTCAACCCAGGGTATGAGCCCACTGCATCCATCCCCTGCACACACAGGGCCCTGGGCTTTGGGTACCAACACCCCTGCTCCAGACCTCGTGCTGCAGGCAAGGGACAGCTGATCTCATCCCTCTTGTGTAGAGCCCCACAAGAGCCCTGCCCGTGTGGCTTCAGGCTCCTGGCCAGACAGGACTGAGATGTGAGCTCCACTCTGCTCTGAAACCTGCCAAATGGCACTTCCCTACTCCCCACTTCCAGTTTGGTCCCCTCCTCGCTGGTCCTGGAGTGAAGCTGGGGACAGGAGTAAGGCACAGCACTGTGCTCTAACCAGCGTCTTTCTAGCAAGACCCATATTTACTGGATTTCAGGCATCTTCTCTGTGTGTGCCCCTGATTTCACTGTGTTTCTGCTTGTGGTTCCCAGAGCAGGATGTAGGGTGTGGCCATGGAGCTCCCAAGGTGAAGCTGTTTGTGATGTGTAGGGGGAAAGCAGGGAAAAGTTGCAAAACCAGGGGCCAGAGTAAGAGATGTGTGGCTGACATGCTGTCTGTGGTTCAGAGGGCATCAAGGCATGGGCAGCATTTGGAAAAACAACCCTTGGAGAGGCTGCTAATGCTGGCAGGAGCCTGGCATCCCAGCCCTTGAGGGATGCTCAAGGTGCCATGGGCAAGTGTGCCATCCCTGGGCTGGGGTGCTCTGTCACCAGTGGGGTGCAGGAAACCCTCTCCCCTCTCCGTGTGCTGGGCACCAAGAGCTGGTGCCATCACCAGCTGGGGAGAGTGACCCGTGTGTGGCTGGCACTGAGGGGCTGTGAGAGGAGGCAGGTGCTCTCCTCTTGCTCTTGGTGGGTGCCATGGGAAGGAGTGCTCTCCTCTCACTGCCCCCAGCCCTCCCCACCATGCCAGGCAGCTGCTGGGAGGTGCCCGTGGCTGGGCTGGGAATGGTGGATCAGATGAGGCAGGGAGTAGCTGCCTGCAAAAAGCTTTTTCAGGCTGTTATTTAGGTCATCCCTAGGGTGCCCAGGAGCCAGGTGACTGTGCCCTCGTGCACTGGGCATGCCACAAACCAAACACTTGTCACTTGACTTCATCCCAGCCTGGGACACTGCTCTCTCTGGGTTTGCCTTTAATTGAGTGAGCGAGGTGCCTGCCAGCGGTCAGCTCGGGTCAGTTCCAGATCTCCTGGGTGCAATCCTGTGCCAGGCAGGGAAGCAGGGAGCCTGATATCTTGCCCTGATGACCGAGGGAGGCTGGTGTACAAAAGGCCACCAAGGGTTGACAGGCAGCGTGCCCAGGCACCACCCTCTTGCCTGCTCAGGGCTGCACAGGCAAGACCATGTATTTAAATCTCTGTGTCAGCACTGGGGTTGTGAGTGGCTCCTACACCCAGGAAGGTTATTGACTGTGCCAGAGGGTTCAGCTGGAGTTATTCACGGTGCTTCAAGAAACTGAGGGATCCCCAGGAAAGGGAGCAAACTACTGCAGTGGCCTCAGCCAGCTCCTGGGATGGGAACATCACAGTGCCCTGGAGAGCACAAGCCCTTAGGGAGATGAGTGTGAGAGCAGCCCTGGAAAGTGCCAGCCTCTCAAAGGTGGTGCTGGGAGGGACTGAAAGAGTGGCAGAAACCTTTGCACAGTCCTATCTGTGTCTTCCCCACCATAAAGAGCACAGCAAGCTTTCTTGATAAGTGCTGCCATAAATCAAAAGCTGAACCACAACCAGGATCATTCCTGGGATGAGCCCTTGGGTCCCAGGCTGCAGGGATGGGATGTGACACTGGTGTTCCTCTGCAGCGTGTTTGTGGTCAAAGCTTGGTCCCACCACACACACATCTCTCCCTGAGCTGAGGACAGCTGGTGTCCTGCTCCCTTCCCTTTGTGGGGGGACAAATGTTGGTGGGTGGTGAGAGCAGGCCCTCTCTGTTTGCCTCCCAGATACCAGCAGCAATGAGGTTCTCAGAGCTCTTTTGGGGAAATCAGAAGCAGTTTGTGTAAGATTTAGCCATTGGGTGTGGGGATCAGACTCCTGGGACCATTTTGCAGCTGGAGTAACTCTTCCAGCTTTGTCACCAGTGGGAGCTGGTTCCCCATTTCCAGGCTCTGTGCCACCTCCCATCCTCAATGATCACCATGTCCTTCAGAATCTGCCCCAAAGTAACTCCAGGTCCCGTGCCAGAGCTGACAACACCTGATGGTGGACACCCATCCCCCTGCAGCCCTGCCAGTGTGCCTTCAGCATGACCAAATTCTGACCATTGAACCTCTCCAAGCACTTGCAAAGCAATCCTGTTGCCACAAACTGGGCTGACTGGCACCATGTGGTGTTACAATGGCCCTGAAATTGCCTTTTTGAAACTTCATTTGCAACTGCCCATTGCTTTTCCCCATCTCAGCTGTAGGGCTGGCAGTGTATGAGACAGGTCACTGCCTGAGGCTGTTGTTGATGAAATAATTTTAGATGTGGCCAAACCCAGTCACATCATCATCTCTGCATAATCAGAAAGGAAATATAAAATCTAAAAGCAAATATAAGATATTATGGCACTACAGGCACTGGCACCCTGTGGGATGAGTCTGGCCTGACCCGTGGCATCCTCTCTCTTCTCCCAGACCCTGCTGGGACCCTGTGCCCCCAGGGTTCATGCAGGGAGCTGAAGCTCCAGAATCTCAGGGAATATGCAGCCATAGAGAAGCTGTCTGCCCCCCCTCCAAAGCTGTGGTTTCACCGGAGTATTTTAGAGGACAACATGGTGACTCCATGAACTTTACCAATGGAAAACCCTCCCTTACTATTGCTTTGTTTTTTTCTGGTGGCTCTCTCTGTTAAATGCTGCCTTACAGGGTGAGTTAGTATTTTTTTCATATTTTTAGATGCCTCTCAGCCCGGTGTCAGGACTCTGTAATTAAAGGAACTGTTTTGGCAGTTGGATGTTGCCAAGCTGGAGCTCTTGGTTTGAAACCACCTTCCCAGAATTATGTGCAGTGCCAGGGTCCTGTCCCAGTGGGGAGGGACAGGATCCCCTTGGGCACCTGCCCACCCTTTCAGGAGGGATGGAGGGGCTTGAGGGGCACAGACATGGTGGGCTCTGGTTTTTTGAGACCTGAGATTCTGGAGCTGTGGGGTCGCTGTGCTGCTGCTGCCTCGATGAAGGTGGCAGGCAGGGTGGCACGATGGAGACCAGTGCACCAAGGCCTCTTCCACTGTGTCTCTGTGCCCTCATTGTATCTGGAGTGTGTCCCTTCTCCAGCCCCGACACTGGGGTCACTTGTCCCAGAACCTGACTGAACTCGACAGGTTGGGCAGCGCCTGTCTGAGCCAGCAAAGCCTATTTCCCTTCACAAGCTGAGAGATAAACCTAAAAATAACCTTGTTATCTTCCACTTGATCCAAATCAACACCAGTCCCAGCTATAAATAGCCGTGCATATGTCGAGGTGGGTTGCAGGGTGTGGAGCACGGTGGGTGCAGTGTCCCCTGTCAGGGCTGACCCCACTGCAGGGGGGGTCTCTGCACCAGAATGCAAAGCTGCTGCTTTGGCCCCTCCGTGCTGGCCATGCTGAGAAGGGCTGTGTCCCCAAGGGATGTGCATGCCAATGGGTGCAGAGGCTCTGTCCCATTGCAAAACAGGTCCCAGAAAGAGCTGGGTAAACACTACCCCATGCACTCTCTCTGACATGGGGCCTGCCCAATGTTACCCAAAAATCCTCTGGCAGTTCCAGCTGCAGGGCCTGGCCTGGAGGGGTTGCTCTGTGGGTCCTACCTGGCTTCCTCCTGCCCATGGTCTCACCCACACTGATGTGCTGTGCCATGCTGTGCCATCCAGGGCTTGCTGCAGCCCTGGTGCTCCACGGGCACCAAGGGTGGGCTTCTGGCACTCTATAATTTAATACTTTCAGCCCAGACTTTGCTGCTCCCCTGTGCCAACCTTCCTCATCCCCATGGAGTTGTGTATTCTCCCAGCTGCAAATGCAGAGGATTTTTGGGATGGAGGCAGCAAAATAAACTGTCTGAGGGTAACATGGTAGGACTAGGTGGGTCAGTGAAGAGGGTGAGCAACTTATTGGGCATTTGGAATAGGAACCTGTGCTGTTCCCTCCAGGTTAGGAAGAAATTGTTACACTGATTAATCTGCTGGTTTAGCCAATTGGAACAGCCAAACTGGGACAAATCCCTTCTTTTGCAACTGCATGTACCTGCTGGGAAGGGGTGCTGTCCCCTCACAGCATGGCCATCTGTCCTCAGACATGTCACCAGGCAGTGATGTCAAGCTGGCACATTTTACACCAGCTCCAAGGTGTGGTTTCCTCCGGCCCACCTGGGTGATGCCTGATGGCAGTGGCAGCCACATGTCAGCTCACCAGTCTCTCTCCCCAGCTGCTCCAGATTGTGCCTGTGGTGGCATGCTGGGAGAGGGACATGAAGCAGGGATCTACAGTGTGCCAGTGGGGAGCCTGGCCCTCGCCCTGGCACCAGCAGGCACGTGCAGCAGCAGTGCTGGAGGGACAGGGCAGGCAGGTACTGCACCAGCTGCTGTGCCACTGGCCAGTAGGTTTGGAAACCAGAGGTGTGGGTGCTGCTGTTGGAGTGGTACTACA